GAATGACAGACTGTCCCCGTACAACCACCTTTGACAATTTGGGAAGCCAGGCCAGAAGAAGAAATGGCTCCATGGGGATTATTTTTGCATTTGTTCTAAGGCCATTGTTATAGCCACCGTCTTGTGGTTGCTGGAGTCAGACAGATCTGGGTTCCAGTCTAGGCTTTTCCATGACCAGCCCAGGGACCCTGGATAAGTCACCTCTCCTCTCTGTGCCTCAGTTTCCTCATCTGTATTATGGAGTCACAGCAGCCACCTGAAAAGATTGCTAGGAGGACGGGTGAGCGTGCCCAGCTCAGTCTGCCACACAGCGTTGCTCGACTATGGTAGCTCTTAGGACGAGCTCCCCCATCCGAGCCACTTGCTGTAGAGGGTGAGGGATCCTGACCAGGACTGGGTAAGAATCATGACCCAACAGTGCAGGGTTTGTGGGTGGAAACAGCAAGGCAAGAATCTTGGGGATAGAGATTCAAAGAATTTGTGGGTACACACTCTGTTGATGGTTTCCCTTGAAAAGCGGATCAGTTTTTCAGGAAGTTCCTATAATAAGCAATCAAGCCATTTGCTTGGTCTGGTCGGTCAGGGGAGAGTAAGAAGGAAAAATGCTAATAAAAACAGTGGAATATCAAAATCCAGTTAACGTGGACATTGAGGTATGGTTTTGGGCTTTTAGTCCCAGCTGAATGTGGGGTGGAAGTGTCCTGGTGGACACTGTCCGCACTGGGAAGTGGGGGGAATCATCCCTGCGTTGGGGATGAAGAGGCCAATGGGCGCCTCGTCCAAGGCCATGCGGCAGGATTGCAGCTGGAGGAGTCAAACCTGGGCAGTTGCCTCCCAAGACAGTGAGTGTGCTGGAGGGAAGGGGTCAGGCCCTCGGGTCTTACGGTGACTGGGGCGAGGATGAGAAGGAGAGACAATCCAGAGGTGGAGTTAACTTGGAGGAGTCAGGTGTGCATGGAAGGGAATGGGATCAGTTGGGCCTTGTGGTCTCGTAGGGCTTGAAGTTGACCGGGAGAGGGGAGGGCAGTGGTGCTCAGTGGGGCCTGTGATGTGCCAGGCCCGGGCCAGGTGCCCTAGATGCCTTATCCCCTTGGAGTAGATGTTGTGTCCTCACTCTACAGATGAAGAAATAGGCTCAGATAAATGGAGGGTCTCACTCAGGCTCACACAGCAGGTCAGTGGTGGTGGGGAGGGCTGGGGTTCAGACCCGGGTCTGAGGACTTGGAAACCGGCCATCTGCCTGGGAGTTGCTCTTGGCAGCTGGAAGGTGATGGAGAAAGCAGGCCCCTGAGTCTTTCCAGCAAAGAGCAGGTGGGGAAGGTGGCCCTCCCTCTCAGACAGCTCTCTGAAACCTCGGCCCTCACTACCCCGGAAGCAGCTGGTGAGAGGAAAGATAATTCCTGCCCCTGGACAGGGTAGCTAGAGGCCGACCCTCTGCCTTGTGGACCTACCCCGGGAGTCTGACTGAACTGGTAAGCAAGGTCTCAGGGCGACTGTCTGACCAGCTTGCCGGGCAGCTGCAGGCAGGGGGCCAAGCGACACCCCAAGTGGACAAGTCTCCTGAAAGGCTAGCCAGACCAGTGACTTGCCAGCAGATGGACACGAGTGGGCCTGTGTGAATGACCAGCCACACAACCCACTGACAGGCACGCAGACCCCTTGCCTGCTAGCTCTGGAGCTGAGGGCTCCGGCTCTTGGAACCACCGGACCTTCCTGGGGCCCCAAAACTTGTTTGCCTCTTGGAGAGAAAGGGGCTGGGAGTTTTTACTGGGGCCTGGCTCCCTGCTTTTCCCTTCATTCCTATAGGCCACCCGGCCCAGCCCAGGTTCACTCCCCCAACTGCCCCTCTCCTGTCAAGCCTGGCCCCTGACAGTCTTCAGGGGACGGGAAGGGCCCCAAGGATGTCACAGGGGAAGGACACACAGCCCTGGACTCAGGACCCTCCTCCTGAGGGGAGCTCTGATCTCCATCAGGGAGTTGGACTGTTTGCTGCCGGTCCCTCCGGAGAGGCCTCCGCCCACAGGAAGGGCTCAGAGGGGACTGACAACCTGCCGGACCAGCCCCATTTAGTGGCCAACTGACCACTCAATACACTGACTCATGGTCTCAGAACCCAGGGGGTCGGGCCAGTGCTTCCCTCTTCTGCTCAGAGGCTCAGGCTGTGGAACGGGCCACAGGGAGGTAGATGGTTCTGAGCTGGTCCACTGACCTTCTGTCTCTCTCCCTCATCTATCCCTTGGGTTTCTTTCAGAGCTGGGCCTCCAGCTCAGTGACTTCTGCCTGCCCAGCCTCGGCTCCAGCCCATCACCTGGCTGGCCTGGCCCCTTGGCACTTGCTGTCTTCCAGGTGCCTGGCTAGGTTTGCTTGGGCTGGTGCACTGTGCTTCTTCCCCTCATCAAACCTGTACAAGGAGCATCGAGCGGTGGTGAGATTAACACCTGAGCTTGAGTCCCTGCACCAGTGTCACCCAGCAGAGCTAGTTACCGCTGAGCGTCGGTGCCCTCCTCAGAAGCAGAGACAATGAAAGCACCGAAGGCACTGGTTGTGGAGAGCCTGCACCAGCAGGGAGAGCATGTGGCGCAGCCCCTGCACTAGTGGCTCACCGGTCTCGCTGGTGAGAGCCCTGGGGCTTGGAAATGGCCCCGCGAGATCCTCTGGGAGAGTTTGTTAGGAGCCCTTCAGCGAGCTTTGCAGTTTCCCTCGCTGCCCTTCACTAAGCCAACCCCTCATCTCCTCCCTGTCAGGTGTCACTTTTGTTTCAATATCTCCTGTTTCCTCTGAGTGTTGATGCCCCAAGAAGGCACTCCTCCCCAGCCACACACACGTTCATTTCCTCCGTCAAGCGCCTCTTGCTATTTGAATGGACATTTCTCCAAAGAAGATGTACAGACGGCCAGCGAGCACATGAAAGGATGCTCAACATCAGTAGCCCTTGGGGAAATGCAAATCAAAACCACATGAGATATCACTTCACACCCACAAGGATGGCTATCATCAAAAAGACAGCTAATAATAAGTACTGACAAGAATTCGGAGAAATTGAAGTCGTCATACACTGTTGGCAGGATGAAATGGTGCAGCCACTCGGGAAAACAGTTTGATAGTTCCTCAGAAAGTTAAACATAGAGCTACCTTATGACCCAGGAATTCTACTCCTGGCTATATACCCAGGAGAACTGAAAACATATGTCTAAGTAAAAACCTGTACACGAATGTTCAGGGGACCTGAAACAACTCAGATGTCCATCAACAGACGACTGAATAAACAAAATGTGATCTGGGCATACAATGGAATATTATTCAGCCATCAAAAGGAATGATTTATGCTATAACATGCAAGAACCTTGAAAGCTGTGCTAAGTGAAGGAAGCCAGTCACAAAAGACCACATAGTGTATGAATGTATATGAATGTATATGAAATACCTGGAATAGGCAAACCCAGAGAGCCAGAAATTAGATTAGTGGTTGCCAGGAGCTGGAGGATGGAGAAATGGGGAGTGACTGCTAATGGGTATGGGATTTCTTAGTGGGGTGATGGAAACCCCACTGGAATTAGTGGTGATGGTATATAACTTTCTGACTATACTAAAGACCACTGAATTGTGTACTTTAAAGGGCTGTATTTTATAGCATGTGAATTATATCTCAATTTTTAAAAATTTCCTCAGGCTCCCAGGTTCCTAGCCGAGGAGCGCAAACCTCCTGCTGGGCAGTTCCCAGCCTCTGGAGCCCCCTCCCCAAGTTTGCCTTCAGGCCTGGCGGAGGTGTCCTCAGATCAGTTTCCAGGCTCCAGAAGGAGCCTGTTGAATGAGAGGAAACTCCTGCAGGTTGAGAAGCGTGTGAAACAATGGAGGAGGCTCCTGCAGGAAGTGGAGCCCCAGGGGGGAGGAAGGCCAAGGAGGCCTGGGCTGCCAGAAGGTACAGGGGGTTTCCATCTAAGTCAGGGGTGGAGTGTTCCAAGGCCGGACTTCTGGCTCCTCGTTGCGATTAAACCTCAGGAGACCCTAGGACAGTGGTTCTCCACCTTGGCTGCACATTAGAATCACCTGGGAATCTTTTTAAAATTTTTGGCCTCCTCCCCCGGGACTTCTCTTTCTTTTTATGGGGTGGCGCACACCTTAGTAACAAAAAAAGGAATTTCGGGAGGATGAGGCCCAGAAATCAGGATTTAAAAAGATTCCCAGGTGATTCTAATGTGCAGCCAAGGTTGAGAACCACTGCCCTAGGAGATGCCTCTGAAGGGGCTCCGCTTCCTGTCAAGACAGTGAGTGGGGTATTGACGTGATTGCCGTGGCTGCCATGGGCGAAAACGGACATGTGTGATGGGGCCTGTGTCCCGTTCTACCGCCTCTCTGCCTCCTGCGTCATCACACCACTTGGGGCCTCAGTTTGGGGGCGGGGGGGGGGGGAAGTATGTTAAATAGGATGACCTCTGAGGGCCCTCTCTGTGCCATTCAACAACATGGGTTGATATATAATTTGGGGATTGGGTTCTTAGCTCTGTGATGCCATGCAGGGTGCTCTCCTATGGAGGTGTTGGTATTTATTCCAAACTGCCCCCCAGGAGAAGTCTTTATGCCCTGACTATGCACCAAGGCAGGCCCCTGCACCTGGCTCCAGATGTCTGATCCTAGGCTAAGCCAGACAGACCCAGACACAGACTCTGTCTCCCGGAGCACCAGTATGTCACTGCTTAGGCCCAAGGCGGGCTGGGGCCACTGCTCGAAGGTTGTGTCGTGGTGAGCAGCGTCTCCCTAGAAGGCAAGTTTATGCTAGGAATGGAACGAAGGTGTGAAATAGGTGGGCCCAGTCAGGATCTGGCCAAAGTGGGCACATGGAGTACGCACCCTCTAGCACCTGGGACTCAGGAGTCTGAAGGCGCTAAGGCGTTTTGACTCTCAGATCTTAACCAACCCCTGAAATACAGCGGACTACCTGGGTCAGGGCCATTCTCTGGGATCCCATCTTCACTCTGACCCTCTGGCTGTCTGTCCCACAGGCCCAGTGGGTATGGAGCTCCAGATGCCAGACAAGGACACCAAGGCCATGATGGGCGCAGAAGACACACCTGGAGACAAAGCCAGCCCAGACTCTCAGGACTTGCGGCCAAGTGTGTTCCACAGCATCAAGGTACTTCTCGGGGCCTGGCGGCTGCAGGGCCAGCCAAACCTGGCAGAGAAAGCTCTGCCACTCACCGGCTGTGTAACACCAAGCAAGTTGCTGCCTTCCTGAGCCCCAGTTTCCTTATCTGTAGAATGGGTGGCCGTGAGAATCAAAGGGATGATCTGTGAAAGCACTTAGCTTGGTTTGGGGCACAGGGAAGATGCCCAGCACAAGTTCTCCCCTTCCAGAAACGAAAAGGGGGCTGCTCTGTGATGATAGGAGACCAGTTTCTCTACCCTTCATTTCCCTAGAGGGGAAGAGAAGGGCCCCAGGGATCCGGAACCTGTGCGGCACAGGCAGCCTCAATATTCAAGCACCCACTGGCACCTACAGGGTGCCAGGCCTGTGCCAAGTGCTGTCTCCACATGATCTTATTTAGTTCTCACAGTAACACTGGGGATGGGAGGGAAGCGGGGAGAAACATTGCCCTTGTTGTACACAGGGACACCAGACTCAAAAGAACAGAGTGAATGTTATTAAGCTTTGGCATAAAAACTATTTTTTAATTCTCTGAGGCTAGGGTTTTTTTCCTCTTAGGAATCCTGCCATTTTTTTAGGAAGCAGGAGGGGATGTTTGAGGTGGGGCTGGGTAGAGTGGGGTGAGCAGCTTGGGGATTTGGTGAGTACAGGCTGTCTCCCAAGGGAGCTCTGGGGGGAGGTGGGTGGGGGTTGGAGAAGGACCTGGGATAGCTTCCAGGAGAAAGGGGAGGGAGGTGGTCCGGTCCAGCTCCAGGAGCTCTGAGGATCAGAGGGGCCTCTCACCAGTCTAGGCCCATGAAGACCCTCCCCTCAGTCACGTGGGTTACTTGAGACCCCAGACCCCTGAGGGTACCCTGACAGCTTTTCATTTGTGTGAGAAGCTATGGCTACTCCAATAACTCTCTCTCTCTCTCTCTCTCCCTCCCTCTCCCCATCTCTCCTGTTCTTGACTCTCCCTTACTCTCTCCTCCTGTGTGTATGTCTCCCTGACTGTTTCCCCATCTCTATTCCTTGCTCCTCTCATGGCCTTACTCTCCCTCTTTCCCCAACTCCATCTCTGTCTCCCCACGCCTCTATCTCCCCACTGTCTCCCTGTCTCCCTGCCCACTGCATCGCTGCGGCCCCTCCCTCCCTCCGGCAGTTCTTCGTCCTGTGCCACAGTCTGCTGCAGCTGGCACAGCTCATGATCTCCGGCTACCTCAAGAGCTCCATCTCAACGGTGGAGAAACGCTTTGGCCTCTCCAGCCAGACCTCGGGGCTGCTGGCTGCCTTCAATGAGGTACTGGCCCTGCCCCAGCCACAGGGGTGGATGGGAGGTAGACTCGCACTCCCACCAACCCCCATCCTCCTCTCTCACTGGTCCAACATACATCCTTCCCCTCCCAGTACCTGCAGGCTACCCCATCACAGCTGCCTCCCAAATCCTCCTTAGAGATTCCTGTGTTGTCTTGGCCAACAAAGGGACAAGCCACGTGTTAGGACAAGGCCTAATGAGAAGACCTCCCCGGCCCTGTACAGTCACAGTATTGGCAATCCTGCCCTTGGGGGCCCTTTCGTGGGGGTATTTTAGAGCTAGCCACTGTCCCCATATCCACCCCCTCTCCCTTTCACTCTCTTTCCCTTTCAGGCACCGGGCTATTGCCTGTCCCACGAAGGGATCAGAGGAAGTCATTTCAACCATAGTGAGAGAGGGTTACGTTACGTCAGAGGCAGAACTTTGGAACCTCGGGGTGGTTGGGGCGAGGTTGATACCAGAGCAGGATGTATTGTCCTCAGAGTTATCCAGGGATCCAGGGCCTCTGCCTCTGGGGCCAACAGTCAGGGAGGAGGAGATAAACTGCTTTGTGTGGATTTGGAGATCAGAGTCCAGCTGTGCCAGCCGCTCCCCCACCAGATGTCTGGAAAAGGCCACTGTCCAGAAGTCACTCTCTTTCCTCCCCAGCCCGGGCAGATTCCTGCGAAATCCTCTCCCCGCTGGGGGATGTGTCACATTCCTCCCAAACCAAATTGTGCCAGCTCCACAGCATTCCCAGATGTCCCTTACACCCCACCTCCAGACCTCAGGGGAGGGGAAGAGAAAGCCATTGTCTAGCTCTGGGACCTTGGTCAAGCCACTGTCTCTGGGCCTCCGTGTCCCGTCTAAACAATGGAGAGTGGCTGTCCTTCTGCTGTAGGTGGTGGGAACGGCACCAGGTGCTAGACGGTTGGGGACAGACCAGACCTGGGTTCAGCTCGGTGCTTGGGTTCTGGCTAGGAAAGAATTCAGAGCCAAGACTCCAACTATAAGAGAACATTTATTTGGTAAATCACAGAGGTAGAAAAGGTAATTCCTAGAAGAAATGGTCTTAGGAAACAAGTTATAAAGGAAGGGCCCTTGGAGCTTGGGAGTGAGGAAACTAATGGTAACTCGCCTGTGGGGGAGAGAGAGAGGGAGAGGGAAACGGAAGGGAAAGAGTAAGGGAGTGCTCCTGGGAGGGAGACTGGGCTGGGTCCTCCAGCCTAAGTTTTTAAGGGTGGAGATTTTAGGGGAGGTCTGGGGGGAAATCTCAATAAAATTCTCCGCCTCTTTCCGGGGTTCTTTCCAGGATTTTTTCCCCCTAATTTTTTTCCCCCCCACCCCGGGGGGGGGGGGGGGGGGGGCGGGGGCGGGGGATGTCATTATCCAATGCAGCTGGTCCTGAGGGCAGCCATGAGTCGATGGCCTGGTTTTGCTACTTTTCTGGTCCTGGAGCTGAAATACAACTGAGGCCTTGATGTTATCTCTAGTGAGGAAAGGTGAGGGGGTCCAAACCATATGACCTTCTCCAAACATCTGGTGGGGGAGCAGCTGGCACAGCTGGACTCTCTGATCTCCAAATCCACACAAATCCACCCTACAATTGTCCTTTGCTAGGCTTTCCACCTGGTGACCTTCTGTACCTGGCCCATTGTCCTTGCTCTGCTCATGTCCGTCTAACTGCCTCCCGCACCTCTCAGGGTCAGTCCTCCTCCCAGCCCTCTACTGATACTGCCCCACGACACCAGCAAGGAGCCTGGGGCTCGGGGTGAGGCCCTCACCCACGGTCAGCAGCCAGGAAGCAGTGGAGTGGGATACACACCTCAGAGGCTGACAGAGGAGCCCGCTTTTCACTCTCAAGCTCTCGTCCCCTCCAGTGCCCATATCCCAGGATTTTGATTCCAAGCCTTAGTCATCTGGGTTCAGACTTTCGTTATTTGTTTCTCTCATTCATGACATCTCAGAAATCAAAACCCCTTTCCTTGACTGCCCCCTTCATACTCTAATACGGCAGTGATTTCCAACCTTTTCATTTCATGGCACTCAGAGTAAAATTCTGGGGCACACCTGTTGGACATGGCTGTAATATGGGATCCAACCCATGTTCCAGAATGGAATTGAACTTCTAACCTTGTCCACTCTGCCCTCATTTCTCTCCCCTAATGGGGTAGTGGGGCATTTCCTAGGAGGATCCAGAATCTGATTCTTATGTAGTCTACTAGTCCATTATACAGATGGGAACACTGAGATTGGCAATAGAGGCATGGATGGTGTAGACCTCAGCTCTGGGTTCTACTCCACACTAATGGGTCCCTTCATCTTCTGCAGGTGGGGAACACAACCCTGATTGTGTTTGTGAGCTATTTTGGCAGCAGGGTACACGACCCCGGCTGATCGGCTGTGGGCTATCCTTGTGCCCTGGCGGGGCCTGCTCATGACCCTCCCAACACTTCATCTCGGGAGCC